GTGCCCGTCCCGCAGCGCTTCTCACCTCCTTCCGTTGGTGGTAGGTCTCTCCCACTTTGATGTGCCCCACCAGGCTGCCCCCCGTGCGGGAATCCAGGATGTGGACGACGGTGGCCATCAGATCGTAGACATGGACCGACTCGGGGTCGTCGGTCGGGCTCAGCTGCAGGAGAAACCGGCCCCAAGGAAATGTTTGAGCCCCGACTTCCCACTGGGCAGCACCCAGCCCTCCGCCCCAAACCCCAGTGCTCAGGCATGTGCCTCCCACCCAGCCCAGAGGTTCCCATTCTCCCCTGAGGCGATTCCCAGACCTCCTCGTTCTCTCTCGCCCACACACCCTTGGCAGAAAGTGGTTCTGAAGCCGTTGCGCTCCCGCAGCCCCACGGGCACACAACCACGTAGCCCCAGAGGACCTCGGCAGCCTTCACCTCATCGCTCTCACTCCAGTTGCAGACATCAAGCTCCTTGCTCTTGGTCAGCCTCATCTTGATGGCGTGAGGGATCCAGATGTTCTTCAGTTCCTCCACGGAAGGATACGAATGCCCCGTGTTGGGGTTCCCCAGCTCCCTCCTGCACAGAGAATCATGGAAGGCTGAGTTGGAGGGAGTCACAAGATGCCAACTTCTCTGGGGCAGGACCCCCATCACCGCCCCCACCCACTTGCCAGCCTGTTCCTGAACTTTCTGCAGGACAGGCGAGGAAGCCAGAGCTGCACCACTCCGTGCAGCTGCCTGCAGCGGGAGCCTGGGAAAGGCGGTCGGCTAACGTCGGCAGAAAGGGCCGACACACAGTCTGGGGTCTTTTGTCAGTCTGAGAAGGGGAATGGGGCTGGGGGCTCCCAGGTGGGTCACCAGGTGGGTCACAAGAGTATGTGAAGGGGACGCTGCGCAGACGCAGAGCACCCATACAGGGTCCGTCTCGGAGCAGCAGTGAGATTGCTCCAGCCCAGACAGATTATGGGAAACAGCCCGGAACTCCCCCAGGCCCAGGGAACAGCCAGAAGGCACCACTGGCTCAGAGTCACCACCCCAGGAACGGTCACCTACCACTCTCCAAGAGAGATTTCTTTGCCTTTGGTGATCTCAAAGCCTCCTCTCTTCATCACGGCTCTCTGAAAGGCATACTGGCAACGAAACACAGGCAAGCGTCAGGGCGGAGCGCCAGGCTGGGCTTGGGGACACGTGGGCGACAGCCAGGCCAAGAGCAGGGAAAAGACAGGGACTTTATGTCGGTGACAGGGAAAATGACAGCGAGGGAAACCCAACTGTCCGCCCGCTCTCTGCCGGAATGTGCTCCAGGAGGTGGGCACTGCCCTGCTGCTCCTACGTCCCGGGGGACGGGGGGAAGGAAACAGTGACTCTACTGCGGTCCCGTCAGCTTTGCCAGGGCAGGAGATCTCGTCTTCTCCGACTCTGAGCGCGCAGCTCACGCTACAAGCGTGACCAAATACCGACATGTCCTCTGCGACCAAAGTCGGTGACTCGAGCAGGGAGCAAGAGACTGCCAGAGACAGCGAGGTCAGAGCGAAAACATCTGCGCACAAGTGGGCACGCAGCAACCCCGTGTGCCAGGGAGAACAAGCCTGCTTCTGCCCCACAGTGTCTCCCCCACCTCAGCCTGCGTCTTCCAGAAATCCGCCTCCTTGGAGCTGTTCACCTCACAGTTAATGACCAGGACGTCCGGCAGGCAGCGGATGTTCCGGGTCTGCACCTGCAGAGAGAGACGGAGATGGGACCGGGCAGCACCCAGAGCCCTGGAGAGGCTCAAAACCGGATCTGGCGCATTCCACCATCTTCCCTCCTCCTTTGCCTGCGGAGCTTCCTCCCCACTGCCTGGCTGGCTCCTGCTAGCTGGGGGTGCTGCCAGAGCTCCTGAGGCACGGAGCAGGCGGCCGCC